ACATAAATCAGTAACGCGCTTGCACTTCCTAGAAATCATGTTAGCAGATACATACATACAAACGTCTTAGGAGATTTCAACTCTAGACACTTTCAGGAAGATGCAGATGGTACAGACACAAAGCGATCTGAGCGCCTTCTATGGTGCAAAAGTGTGGCTAAAGTCAATTTCTGTATAATGTTTTGAAGGGGCAACAAAAGCACTTTTAGACTGTTGACTGAAGACGCGCCAAATCTTCGATGACTCCGAATTTTTGTTAAGTAGCTATATCTCATCTCCAATGAAAGAACTTCAGTAGAATACTAATCATTTCTTTGTTGTGTGGAGGTAACAACTCGGAATCTATAGTCGTTTGGTTGTTGAACGGGGACACGTGCATCGGTTTTCAGCCAACATTTGAATTCTTTAGCTTCCACGGTCGCCAGAAGTCTGTTTATAATCAACTTCCTCTTGCTTGTCTTCTAGCTGTGTCGCTAGGTCTGCCACTATTACAATCCACACTGTCATCGTCTCGCACCAAAAAGCTAGCTGAGATCACTTTATGTTTTTCGCTATCTTCGGAGGTCGAATTCGAACTCCTAGACATTGAGGAGTACCACCAAAGAAAGTGCAACGAATCGCAATCTTTTATGAGTAAAAATGAGCAAAAGCGTTGCGATAATCAGGCAGCTATTTTGGAAGAGATCATAGAGGCTTGGCAAAAGTAATAAGTCTTACAAAACTCAACATGCCGACCTGAATTGAAGTGATGAAGAGAGGAGTGCCATAGGGTTTCGACTCTCCATGCGATTTTAGTGCTATCTAATTGGTTGTCTATACTCATCCTAACATGGAGTACTTTTTGGAAGCCACCTCTTTCTTCCTAATCAAGTTACCATTAGCATTCTATATTGACGTATGACTTCATGTTTTCATAGTTATATAACACTTACACCGCAGTCATCTTCCGTCGTAGAAACTCCAGGAGTGGGAAGGTTTCTGCAAAGGAGACAGCATGAGAAAACTTTCAGAGAAGGAGGCAGTTCACGACTAACCTGTCAGCTGCTTATCCAGT